TGTACAATTTCATATGTTGTAAAACAAAGGAACAGGGCAATCAATATTGACGTTATGTTTTCTTACAGATAGAGAATATCCTACAACTGCTGGAACTGGAAGGGCCCCAAGATCAGACAAACCTAAATGATTGGTTGTCAGGTATGTGCAATGTTTAGCTGTTACTGACAATTCCCAGGGTTCCCTACACATGGTAAATACCATTATGGCATTATCTATGGCTTGGAGGAACATTTATAGAACTTTTATTGCAGGTGATTTGCATCCATCTCCATTGTTGGACACAAATGCCCATTATCAGGTATGGTTGTCAAATTTATCAAATAGATATTCAGATGTTTAAACTTTAACCACCTGGTAGATTTTTGCACAAGTAAACTTTTAACATGCTAGATAAAGTGGACGAGATAAGGTATTGACAGTCAATTTTCTCATGGCAGACAAAATGTAGGAGAAGTGGCCGAAGAGGAACTCGGAAGAGGAGGACGTCCCCATGGGTAGGCACAAGTTTATTGTGAGAACATCCCTTTAATTGAACTAACAAAAGAAGAAACCAAAAAAATGATGAAAAAGTTGCTTGCGTACAAATGCTTGAGAAAACTATTTGTATCTGCTTTGGAGAATTTATTAATTATTTTTCTCCATGATTAAATAAACAAAAACAGCTAATATTTTTTTTGGATAAAAAATACAATATAATTTTCAAGTAACCAAACCATTCATTTCGTTGTCAAAGTGTGTCTGAAAAATTAAATTTAATATTTTCATTGCACCCTCTTTTGTATTCAGATTCTTTCTTAGCCTATCACTATCACCCATCAGCTGAGAAATTTTACATGACTTTTGGTTGTTTGACAGAACCCGATGTTCTTTGAAAGTCGTGTTAGTAGGGAGTACACACGTAGAAAAAATAATAGCCGGTGGACTGCTAAAGAAGTGGAGATACTGGTACAAGGTGTCTCTAAATTTGGTGTTGGACGATGGGCCTTGTTGAAGCAGCAATTTTTCAAAACGTCAATTAGGACATCAGTAAATCTTAAGGTGAAGTATATTAGTAATGCATTGCACTATGAAGTAAATTCATTCTTAGATGATATTCGCTAATATGATACTCTTGTATTGTTTCATGGTTCAGGACAAGTGGAGAAATCTGTTGAAAGCTTACCAGGTCAGAATCCCATCTAATAAAAAAGTGTTGTTTCTTTAACCTTCTAATACTAACTGCTAAGTACATTTCTTGAATTCAATCCAGGGAAATTCACAAAAAACTACACAACTGTATCTTGAGCCATCATTGGTTGAACAGATCAGGAAGCTGGCAGCAAAACAACCATATCCAAATAAAAGGCACACATAGGAACTGCGACTTAATCGTTGTATAGACTCTAGCATGGAGTTAGCCTTATCTAAAACTAAAAGGGAAGGGAACGGTAGAAAGCAGGTTATTTATGAAATGGAGGGAGGGTTTTTGAAGTGAACATGCTGAATCTTTTACTTTTGCCCATCTCTGTCCTTTGTAAAGACCAAAACCACTCTCTGTAAAATGTTTGGTGGTTCAAGGAAATTTAGCATGTTTAGTATTGGTTTTTCTCCTGAGGTCTATGTTCAGTTTCAGTTTTTGCTCATTTGGTGCTTAACCACAGCAGGGACACTGATCTTGTTGCTGTGACTTCCATGAGCCTTTACATGGTGTTGGAAAATTTTGCTTGGCTCATTCTCTAGGAGTGGCAGCAAAGCAGCAATCTAGAAACTTACTGCTTATGAGGAGCAACTTGTAGCTGGCTTAACCCTGTTTGCCATGTTATCAGTTGGTAGAAAAAAATTACCTGAGTTCCTGTTTCTCTCTGTAGTATGCTGTAAAGTACAGGATTCAATTTTGGTGTGTGGAAGGTTCTATTCATAGAAATCTTGGAATATTTGAACCACACTGAATATTAAATGCTTCATGGGAATTGTTGCAGTTTCAGGCTGGCATATACTACTAAGAAAGTAAAATGCAGTAGGATCATTTTCAAGGATACAGAATGGGGCACCAATTGGCCAATTTGGAAAGGTATCCTTTAGCAGGACGTGGGTCTTGTAATCCTTGCTTGAAAGTTGGAACTTGAAAGAATGTACTTTTGATCTTTTTTTTCAATTTTCTTTTCTTTTTACTAAATTTTTTTGGGAAGTTTACAACTCAAAAATATTTTGAATTTTATATATTGTACTCCAACTGAAGAAGTTTGAATTCTGAAGTGTCTGCATCTGGTGTATTCTTTTACAGTTAACATCCAGGTTTGCAGTGTGCAACCAAAGTTCATACTCTGACCTAGTTTGTGGTGCTCTCTACATATATCAGCCCTCTATATGCAATATGCTTAAAATGCTCGTATTTATTTATGCAGCCATTTCTCTCGCATTTTTTTTGCATATAATATGTTGTTGAGACCTTTTTTTTCTCAAGTTTGTCCATGAAGCAGCATACGGAACCAAAATTTCTGAACCTGAACCTTCAGCTGCGTTGATAGACAAATGCAGCTTCGGCCTGGTTTGTCTGAGCACTGAGCATTGAATATGCAGACATTAAACACGAGTGGTCTATCTATCATTTACAGTATAGTGCACACCTTTGATGACTGGAGATGATGAGAACATCTGTATTCAGGCTTACTACTAGTTACCAGGCCAAACGAAAACCTGAACAGTCAGTGGAAGCATGATCTGACGATCCAAATGACCAATTCTGCTATAATAAGCCTGGGATGGGAGCAATCCTCATCTCGGCTCTGAAACAGTCTCTCCACTGCTTTACTCGCTCACTTTGAATACTACGCAAGCAGCCGCTGTCCACGTCGCCCTGTGGTAAAAGGGGACTGGGGACGCACATGATCTCAGACCCAAAAATGCCAAATTCACAGACTGTCAGACAAAATGCAGTTCGCTTTTCAGCCGCTGGCACAGAGCCAACGGTATGCAACTTCTTCAGGGCTTCTTTGCCGCACTTGCGCACTGCCCACACTGGCTGCATCAGGTATGCCCACACTTGCTGTTGCTTGTCCTCACCGCTCGCCAACCGAGGTTCTGTCTGCACGCCAACCGAAGCTCTGTCTGCGCGCCAACCGAGGAGGCGGAGCATTGCATTGCACGGCGGGACGCGGGGACGCCCACTCCGCCGCTGCCTTTGTTGGTTGGTTATAGCTGTACCGCTGCCACTTTGCTCCGGCCGCATTCTCCCTCCTCTCCTTTTCAGATCATCAGTCGACCGGGGGGCGGGCTGGGCCAGGGCGTCGCCACCGCCACGGACTGCCATCGTCGCCGTCGCCGTCCCCGTCCCCGTCGCCAGCGTCACCACGTGCGCCGCAGCCCGCAGCGTTGGTTGGGCTGGCCTGTTACGGTCAGTGCGTGTAGTGTTTGGGCTCCTGGTCCATTTCAGGCACTCAGTGGGCACTCTGGGGCTCTGGGCCACTGACAAGGACGGGCCTAATTGCTGTCCGGGTAGGCCGAGAGATTTCTCGGTTGGCTGGTTCGTATCGTTGCTGGTTCGTGAAGAAGTATTGTTGGTTGGTTTGTGTGAGAGAAAAATACTATTTTAGCTAAAAATTTACGATCGTTTACGACAAGCCACAGCCAAACGAACATGTTATTCCTTGTTTGGGCTTTTCTTCCGTGTCCCGTCGTCTTTTGTCTCTAAAAAAATATATCCATGGTACTGTGCTCAGAAATGAAAATGAGCCCGTGTTTAGTTGGGTGAAAGTTAGAAATTTGGCTACCGTAGCACTTTCGTTTTTATTTGGCAATTAATGTTTAATCATGGATTAATTAGGCTTAAAACGTTCGTCTCGTAATTTTCAACCAAACTGTGTAATTAGTTTTTTTTCGTCTACATTTAATGCTACATACATGTATCACAAGATTCGATGTAATGGCTACTATAGTACTTTTTGGGAAAAATTTCCACGAACTAAACCTGGCTGATAGGGGTTGGAGTCTTGGAGATGGTTCTGCAGACATGCGAAATCGCCGAGTCGTTGAGCCATCTTATCCCTCAAACTGCATGCGTACAGGACTGCCGACGCATGCCCTGCTCTTGCCTCTGCTTTCTTCAACATCTCGCCCAGCTCATTCAGGGCCTTGTTTAGATTACAAATTTTTGCAACCTGCATATTGTAGTACGTTTTGTTTATATTTGATAAACTTTGTTCGATCATAGACTAACTAGACTCAAAAGATCCATCTCGTGATTTACAATCAAACTGTGTAATTAGTTATTTTTTTATCTACATTTAATGCTTCATACATGTGTCCAAAAATTGATGTGACGAAGAGAGAGTGAAAAAACTTAAAATTTGGAGACGATGGCCATGAGATGAACCCATCACAAGCTGTTGCCCAGATTCGATCCAAAGAATTACAGACACGGATCCCGCGGGCGTATTCTCTAGGCCCATCCTTTTTCGGACTCGACTTGCTTGTCCTCGCCGCTCGCGCGTGACTCCGTGGGCTCGGCCCAGCGCGAACCGAACCTTCTTCCCCCCCTTCGGCCGTTTCCCCCTTCCCTTGTTGGGCCCCACGCGTCATGGTCCGTACCCAGAGACGAGGTGGCATCCACGTCACGAGCACCAGCCGATGAAAGCCAGGCAGGTGTACAAACCTCGCGTGCCCGTAGCGGAGGGGGTTGCACGAATCCAGCACGGCTCGAGTCCCTCACCCTGTCACCCAATAGCATCTCGCCAGCCTATAAAAAAAAACAGCATCTCGCCAGCTACGGGCACGCGCGCCGTGACCCCACGAAAGCCGCACAGTTTACTGACTCCGTGGGTCCATGAGACCTCACGGCCCCACATGTCATGAGCGTTAAGCACACTAATCCGTCCTCCTCTCTCCGTGCGTGCTCCTCTCTTCTTCTATCTCCTCGCTGGCCTCGCTTAACGGCCTGATCTCTCCTCCCAGCCGCCGCTTCCGCTTCCGCCTCCGCCGGCCTATCCGCTACTGATCGCGTCCCACCGGCCTCCATCTCCATGCAGCCGCGCTCGCCGGCTGCGGCGGAGGCCGAGGCCGCCGGCGCCACCATGGTGCCCGGCGTGGGCGGCGTCGAGCCGGCCGTCACGCTGGACCAGGTGCCGCGCTGGAGCGACCCCGACCAGCGCATCTTCCTCGCCTCCACGCCCGACGAGGCGTCCGCGGAGGGCGCCGGATCCGACACGGCCTCCGCGTTCGGCTTCATCTCCTTCTCCGACCCGCTCACGGTCGACGACGGCGCCGGTGGGGGTGGCCGCGCCGGGGGCGCCTCGCGCTTTCCCGTCGACCAGGAGATCAACTCCAGGATCTACCTCTGGCGTGGCCAGCCCTGGAACCTCGAGGTCGACGCCGTCGTCAATTCCACTAACGAGGTCTCGATTCCTGTCCCCTCTCCTCGCATCAGTGCTGGGAATTGGTTTCAATTTTTTTTTTGGGTTCTATAAGCTCATGTCTTTGCTCCGGGGTTTCGTGCAGAGCTTGGACGAGGCGCACAGTAGTCCCGGGCTGCACGCTGCTGCTGGGTCAGGGCTCGCCGAGGAGTGCGCCACCTTGGTACTGTTCGTGACAGAGCTTGTGGCAAATTGAAGGGGCAAGTTTGTTCAACTGTTTTCTGGTCGACCATTTTGCAGGGAGGTTGCCGAACTGGGATGGCCAAGATGACCAATGCCTACGATCTGCCTGCAAGGTAAGCTGGACCTATGTTATTTGTATTTTCACTTGTTGGGTCATGTAGAAAATGTATATATGTGTTTGAAGATCTTTAGACACCGTGGACACCTAAGCTACAACATTGATGTGTTATGTGGTTCCACAATGACAACTGTGTCCCTTCACAGTAAATAAGTTGCTCGGTTCAAAGTTCCCAGCTTCATGTTTCCTGCAAATTTCGAGCAGTGAGGGCAACACAAGAGTTTCTGCTTATAGAGTCAGACCACGGGTTGTTTTGCCTGCGTTATTTTCGGAATCTTCTGATATAGCACTGGTGTGACGGTTGTTTCTGATTAAGCAAAGCATACCCCCTGTGCCTGTGTTTCACAAACACCGCATATCCATACCCTGATTCACTTTATATAACAAGCGGTGTTGTTGAACCCATATAACTTGTTACTTCAAGCAAGCCTCCAGTGGCCAGTAATTGAAGCTTTAGTGAAAGTCTAACTTTGCTGCAGCTAGCTATTGAACACTCACAGATTTACTCATATCCAACATGTTGTTCTGTGGTTGTCTGTAATCTCAGTTATGCTAAGATGCATGTATCAATTCATTATGCAGGAAGGTCATCCATACTGTGGGCCCCAAATATGCTGTCAAGTATCACACAGCTGCAGAGAATGCACTTAGTCACTGCTATCGGTCCTGCTTGGAACTGCTCATTGAGAATGGTCTTGAAAGGTACATGTAGGATCATATTGCTTAAATCTAATTGCTAATTTTAGTTTAACAAATGATGTTTGAGTTGTCCTGTTTCACATAGTGAACTTTATAGATTTATGGATATTATTAGTAATTTTTTTCGTTGCTTATTTTATTAGCATCGCAATGGGTTGTATATACACAGAAGCTAAAAACTACCCTCGTGAACCAGCTTCTCATGTGGCAATAAGTAAGTTCTTCTTATCTTTGTTTACTTTCTCTTTACTTGTGCTATAGAATATTTCTTATCATCCTATGCATGAATGAAAATATTTTATCTGTAAATATTGATGTTAGCTGTGGTACTAACCTTAAGAAAAAGTAACTCTCAACAACCCCTCCCACTTCTCGCAACCATGTACAGGACAAATCAGTGATTGGCAGAAAATGGAAATTATGGATGAATTGTTCTTTCTGCAGTCATGCTTTTACTCCATGAATATTATAGGTAAATAGTTGTTTCATTCTTTGTGAATTTATTTATACTCTGTAGGAACTGTTAGACGTTTTCTGGAGAAGCAAAAAGGCAAAATAACTGGTGTTGTTTTTTGTACTACATCATCATCTGACACAGAGATATACAAACGGTACTTAAACTGAACCCTGGAATCTGTATTACCTTCTATTTGTTCATCAGCCAATTATAAGCAATTAAACAATGCAGATTGCTCCCACTATATTTCCCTCGGGACAAGCAAGAGGAAGAGATTGCGATATTAAAGCTCCCAGCTGATGTTGGGGATGAGAATGGTGAGACGGTAATAGATGAAAGGAAAATAAGAATAAGACCTTTGCCTGCTGGTGTGGTAGACAGAACAGTGTCTGCAACTCTTGTTGATCTTCCTCTTTCTGATTCTGGATCGGCATTGAAAAGGTGAAATTTAAAAGCTTGACATACTTTTCTGCTTTCAATATTGGATGGTACAAATTCAAATATGTTTTTTATTTATTTTGGTGATAGCTGGATTTATATAACTTGAAGACTTAATGATCTTCCATGTGCCTGATGCTGATCTATATCTTACTCCCTCCATTCTACAATAGTTTTCCACAGCACACCATGTACATTGACCAAGGAAGTACTATTTCCAAGAAAATAAATCAAAGTGAAATACCATCTATACCCCTAATGAATAGCATATATAACAAATTCTTTTCTTTCCAAACATTTAATTAGGGTGGAGGTGGAAACATAACAATAACTACACCCTTGGTATCCTCAATGGAAAAACATTGTGGAGCGTATCCCTTGGCCATGGACAAATATTGTACCCCCTTCATTATAATTATAAGACATTTTGGCTTTTCTAGATACATAGCTTTTGCTATGCACATAGGTACACACACTATGTCTAGATATATAGTAAAAGCAATGTATCTATAATAGCCAAAATGCCTTATAATTTGGAAGGAGGGAGTATAATAGTGGGAGAATTTATTATATCCTTTTTCTCATAGTAATTAGCTTGAATTGTATTTTTTATGTTCCTATTTTGTGCAGGTCAATACATTTAAGTCGTTATCATCATTCTTGTTTTCTGAAAGCAATATCCTTATTATACTTACTAAGATGACTGTTCTTTTCTAGTGTTCCATTCCCCATCTAAGTAATTTGTTACAGGTTCTTTGTCTCATTGTTGTTTACTTTACATGGTTGCTTGTATTGACTACATGTTGTCATAGATCTTGATCTTCAAATAGTTTTTCTTCAACTCACTTTTGTCTGGTTATTCTACAGGGGTTCTTTCAAGTTAGATTCAGTATCTGGATCCTTCATTTATGTCAATAATTAAAGACCCAGATCTCATGCGCAAGGAGCAGTGGGAAAAATCCGCTCAAGCTCAAAAGGGATTTAATTATGCTAGGTTACTTGGATATGGGGATCTAGGTTGCCCTTCATTATCTGCAGCAGAGGAATACTCACTTCATTCACGATACCTCGCTAAAGCAAATTCTCTTAATCTTTCAGAGATTGCTGAAATGAAAATAATGTATGTAGGTTTCGTATGTTATGATTTTATACTTGTGCTTAATTATGTTTGTATGTAGACATATTTAATGAAATACGTTCCAGTATCTTCACTGCCTGTAGTCTGATATTCTCCACCAACTGCAGTTATCGTGGTGGAGTTGATATTGAAGGACGCTCGGTTATGGTGGTTGTTGGTGCACACTTTCTTCTTCGATGCCTTGATCTTGAGCGGGTTTGTTCTACATGTAGTGAAGGTAATGTATCTTAATGCATATGTCCTAAAGCCTTGGATTAAGTGTCAGTATGCACTCTCTAACCATGTGTGGGCGTGTATATCATGGTTTTCTATGTGCACTGAGCATTATGCCATCACTTAAAATTGGGAATACTAGCCTCTAGCATATTTTGTTAGTAAACCATGCACATGTTGTGTCCAGTGAAAAGAATAAATCAGCCTCATGTATTTGTGCTCTTTTTTTTTTTTTAAAGAAAGAAATTCCCTGCATTTATAGAAAGCGAATATGTTTTTGCATAGAAATGTTGGGAACTTGGGATACCGTTCAGAATCAGCAAACCTTGATGAAACCAGAAACACGAAGCCACTTGCTCACAAACTACCTACTGAAGTATTACCGCATTGCCCACATTTTCCCATCAGCTTAACCATTTGGGTTGAACTGGTGGATACATGCAACTTAGCCCGTGTTTAGTTGCAAAAAAAGTTCCAAAAAAGTGCTACAAGATCCATCACATCGAATCTTGCGATACATGCATGGAACATTAAATATAGATGAAAAAAACTAATTACAGTTTGGTGGGAAATTGCAGACAAACGTTTGAGCCTAATTAGTCCATGATTGAACACTAATTGCCAAATAAAAACGAAAGTGCTACAGTAGCCAAATTCCAACTTTCCCCTCAACTAAACAAGGGCTTAATATGGTATCAAGACCACTTTGATTAGCGCAATTAAATAAAATAATTGTTCATTGATCCTATTCCATGTCTGAAGCATGAGGGAGCCTCCCGTAAGTGAGAACATTGAATTATAAGTTTGCAAAAGGTGGTTGCCATAACTCCAAAAATTTTCAGATTTCAAGTTACAAGAAGCCTTCACTTGAGTTTTGCAAAAAATTGGTTCCCACAAATGTCCCATAATACTTGTACATTGGTGGGTACTGACAAACAAAATAATTAACTCCTTTGGTGCTAGGACATGTAACTTGTTTAAACTGTAATACTTTAACTTGTTTAAACTGTAATACTTTTATAAATGCACTCCATCCAATTACTACAGTCATCTTGGTCACAATTATATGAAAGTGAGGAATACTCTTATAGCAAAACTAAAGCAAAGTTAATATGTAGAAATGGCCTCTAAGAACATTTCAGTGTATTTAGAGGGAATACTCTTGCAAATGTGAAACTGAAAGAGTTCTTGCTCTTTGCATTTGATAATTTCAATGACTTCTGCTGTCCCTGTTATAACATGTATATATTGCTTTACTCATCTTGTGCATTTGTTGTTTTTTTAAGTCACTCATCTTGTACATCTTGTTTTGTTTTTTCTCAATAAGTTAATTCTGAAAATTGTTTCATATTTCTTGTCATTAGGAGTTTGAACCTTTGATTCAGAAGCCATATACAATTGTATATTTCCACTCCGCAGCATCATTACAACCGTAAGTGTCTGGGAAATATGTCACTGAAGAAATTCCTTATTTTTTGCTTTTAATCCGTAATGTAAAAAAGAACATCTTGTTAAATTTTCAGGCAACCAGATTTAGGATTCATGAAGCGGTTACAACAAATACTAGGACGGAAACATCAGCGCAACCTTCATGTCAGTATATTTTATGATGAATCTGTATTCTATTTATCCTATATAAGGCGATAACAGGTACACTCTTCTAACAACATTCACTACAAACAGGCAATTTATGTACTCCACCCAACATTGGGTTTGAGAACAGCTGTTTTGGCAATGCAGATGTTTGTAGATGGAGAGGTACCTCCTAGTTCAGACTACGGTTAAGACTTTTCTTCACTGTGCTGCATGAGATCTTAGCATCCTTTTTTCCTCTAGGTCTGGAAGAAAGTTGTATATGTGGATAGGCTTGTGCAGCTGTTCAGATATGTACCACTTGAGCAACTTACAATTCCGACTTTGTCTTTCAGTAAGTAGCCCTGCACCCTGCACCCTGCACCCTGCACGATACTACTTCCAGCTCTTGGGCGATTTGCATGCGAACTGGAAAAGTGACTGTACTTGGTAACTTATTGCTGCAGGCATGATCTGGAGGTGAATGGTGGGAGGGGCCTAATTGTTGACCCAAGAACAAATCACATCTATCAGAGGACGTCCAGTTGATATGTGCTGGTTCTGAGGCCTGAAGTTTGTTAGTTCTTGCACTGTACCATTCTAATGTTCACTTCTTGTAACTGTATTCCATGTGTTTCTTTCTGTATCTAGTTAGTCTATTCCATTTGTTTGTTCTCCTGCCTTCTGCAAGGGGGTTCTCATCTGTATCAGTTGATATGTAGAACTGAATAAAAGTGGTGTTTACTCTAGATGTTGTTCAAGTTAAACTTATCCTGTACAAATTTTGGCAGTTGATATGTTCAAGTTTATTTCAAAGTTTCATCCCTTCTATTTATTTTTCTGCAAGTTCTGAATCATGATTTTTCTAAGTGATCCCTAACCGGCATTAAATAATGGTCTTGTTTGAGTGCTTGAGCTTCAGCTTACAGAACAACAGAAAACTTTGGAAAGTACAATCCACCCCAGTACCGAAGAGTTGAAGCTTCTCTCAACAGGCTTCTCAGCTAAAGATAAATCCTAAAGCATGGACATTTCATTACAAGGTAACTTTTCTTAAAGTCATCCAATGTGCTAATAAAAATGAACTAGCTATATCGAAATGTATTTGGTTTCTTACGCTGTTGTGGAGACTAGGCATTTTGGGTTCACATTTAGTTCAAATAAAAAAGGGAATGGAAAATTGCAAAATCCACCTAGGGTTTCATTTTTTTATATAAAAAAGAAAACCACATACATTTTATTTCCTTTCTCTGACTCCTTCAAGTTTTATGTGTTCTCAAATACCACTTGCCCCTTGTGCTAGATATATAACAAGCAGAAGGTTGGCCACTTGGCATGGTAGGCACGTTAAACAGCACATTAGCTCTAGCATAGTAACATGCATCGTGCCGTCAAGATGAACACCAAGCAAGCTAAGCTCAATCAGTGGCCTACCTTGTGAGAAACTGGTTCATGGCCCATACAGAGCTTGATATTTGAGTTGATATTGTGTTAGGCAAGTTAAGTGCAACAAGTGCTAAAGAATGCTTTCTAGCTACATAATCTAACCCAAGTTGTGCCATAATTTCTTTGCCAGGTGTATGAACCATCGACACATTTGTTTTTTTTATATAGGTGATGCCACAGTTGTTTTTCTTCGCAAAGCTAGTTTAAGCTTTCAAAGTAATCATCTCTTGTTATAGGTTCGGTAGTTCCACAAAATTGCGATCGCGTATGTATCAGCATGTTTTCAAGCATCTCCATTGTACGTACCCTAAGGGACAGATAAAATGAACAATGTATACTGACAAATTGGTGACCAGATAGCATATAGAGTTATGTAAGTTTCATTTACAATTGTCAGATATTGACGAATAGGTGGCCATTTGTTTTTGTTTAGGTGCGGACAGCTGATGAGCAGGCCAGGCAAGTAGGTGAAGCATATTCGATTCGCACATAAACAGTCACTTCGTCTGAATAGCAGGGTGACCGAAGAGTTGAAGCTCCTCTCAACAGGCTTCTCAACCTAGTTCCACAAAGTTAAATCCTCAAGCATGGACATTTCATTGCAAGGTATTTTTTCTTTTCTTAAAGTCATCCAATGTGCTAAGCAAATAATCACAATGTATTTGGTTTCTTACGCCTGTTGTGGAGACTAAGCATTCTGGGTTCACATTTAGTTCAATAATAAAAAAATACAAAAAAGAATTAAAAAAATACAAAATCCACCTGCAAAGTAGGATTTTTTTTATAAAAAAAACCACCCACATCTTAATTCCTTCCTCTGATGCCTACAAGGTTTATGTGTTCTCAAATACTGCTTGGCCCTAACAAGCAGTCAATGGGCATAGGAGGGAATCTGAAAACACATGAAACATGCAGGTGATAATACTGAAAGGAATTATAATGCATGATGGGTATTTGGAAACCACCATACCTCGGCTTGCAGTTTTTTTGTGCAATTTTTTTTTTAAAAAAAAGAAGAAGAAGAAAAAAACTTATAGAGTGGTTTACATTGTAATACTATTTGGAGTAGTTGGCCTTTCCTTTTAGCAGAAGGTTGGCCACTTGGCATGGTAGGCATGTTAAACAGCACATTAGCTCTAACATCGTGCTGTCAAGATGCATGAACACCAAGCAAGCTAAGCTCAATCAATGGCCTACCTTGTGAGAGACTGATTGATGGCCCATACAAAGCTGGATATTGTGTTAGACTAGACAAGTTGAGTGCAACAAGTGCTAGAGAATGTTTTCTAGCTACATAATCTAACCCTAGTTGTGCCATAATTTCTTTGCCAGGTGTGTATGTATCATTGTATCATCACACAACCGGTAGTTCCAAAATTGTGATCACATATAACATATACTGTATCAGTGTGTTTTCAAGCATCTCCATTGTACGTACCCTAAGGGACAAACAGAATGAACAATATACTGACGAATAGGTGGTCTGAGGCATAGAGTTATCTAAGAGTTTCACTTACATTTGGCGGATTGACAAATAGTTGGCATTTGTTTTTGTTTAGTGTGGACAGTTGTTGAGCAGGGAGGCAAGTAAGCAAAGCATATTCGCACATAAAGAGTCACTTCGGCTCAATAGCATAGCACCCAGACGACTATGATCGGATATTTCGCACAACACACTGCTGGAAGCTGGAAACGGAATCCTTCTCTGCACATTATAAATGGCGTTTGATGTGTATTCAAGTTCGTGCTGAGCGGTTGACTTGTTATGATACTTGGAACGCGGCATTGGCCGTAGTTGACTAGGATTATATAAAGCCCAGGTGACGCTAGTTAGTAAGAGCATCAGGTATTATATTCCTAGGATAAACCTTGCCTATTTAGTGACGTGATTCCGACAGTGTTGCTTAACACTTTTCCATTCTTGTTCAAACGCTGAAAGTCGCCTCTTTGCATCTTCTGCAATTTCCCTCGCAAAGGTGCGCGATGCTGATTTTGTTTCATGATGATGTTTGGAGTTTAGTTAGAAGACCATAGTAGCTTTGAGAAATTTAGAGTTGTTGCATGAGTATGACTGCAGTTGTGCTGAGAAACGCATAGCAACAGTTCGTAAGAAAGATACACCTTTTGCAGCAGCTCTCTAGAGATTCCATTCGGTTAACCTTTTGTTCTTCAGAAAAGGTACACCTTTAGCGGTTTTGTATTGCTCAAAATACGTCCCTTTCTATCTATGCTGCTTGGGAAGATCAGTTTCACCTACTCAGCAGTCACATGTAAATTACTAGCTAAAGAGCATCTTTACTTACCTGCAACACATGATTACTGTGTCAACGTGCATGCAACTGCTTACTAACCCTATCCATCTAACCACCATTGACAATGATAGGATTATATATATAAAAAAACATCCTTCTCAATTCAAGCCCCAGTTTTAAATCGAGTTTTCGTTTTCATCGACTAAGATTTTCCTTCAATAATTCCAGTATGTTCCAAGAAAAGGCAGCAACATAGAGTATGTCCCTAGTTTTGCGAGAAACTTCAGCTTGGGCTCACCACTGACCCCAACTCTGAAGAGCAAGTCCGCAAGTGAGAGCTCACTCTCTGATACCAGCTTCTATCTATATAATTGCGTTGCACATACATATTGCAGCTCGTCGATAAAGGGGAACTAGCTAGCCGTTGAGTGGACACAGCGTGCGGCAGCGACCATGGCTGGCGATGGCGAGCAGCTCAAAGTTCTGACGGCGCTGGACCAGGCGAAGACGCAGTGGTACCATTTCATGGCCATCGTGATCGCCGGCATGGGCTTCTTCACGGACGCCTACGACCTCTTCTGCATCTCCCTCGTCTCCAAGCTGCTGGGGCGCATCTACTACACGGAGCCCAACAGCCCCAGCCCCGGCACCCTGCCGCCCAACGTGTCCGCGGCCGTGAACGGCGTCGCACTCTGCGGCACGCTGGCCGGCCAGCTCTTCTTCGGCTGGCTCGGCGACAAGCTCGGCCGCAAGAGTGTGTACGGCTTCACGCTCATCCTCATGGTGCTCTGCTCCATCGCGTCGGGCCTCTCGTTCAGCCACACCCCAAGGGTGTCATCTCCACGCTCTGCTTCTTCCGCTTCTGGCTCGGGTTCGGCGTCGGCGGCGACTACCCGCTGTCGGCGACCATCATGTCCGAGTACGCCAACAAGAAGACCCGCGGCGCCTTCATCGCGGCCGTGTTCGCCATGCAGGGCTTCGGCATCCTCTTCGGCGCCATCGTGGCGCTCGTGGTGTCCAGCGGCTTCCGGAACTCGTACCCGGCGCCGTCGTACCAGGACAACCCCGCGGCGTCGCTCGTCCCCGATGCCGACTACGTGTGGCGGATCATCCTCATGTTCGGCACCATCCCGGCCGCGCTCACCTACTACTGGCGCATGAAGATGCCGGAGACGGCGCGGTACACGGCGCTCATCGCGCGCAACGCCAAGCAGGCCGCAGCGGACATGTCCAAGGTGCTCAACTCGGAGATCGAGGAGGACCTGGACCGCGCCGAGCGCCAGGCCAGCAGCGGCAGCAACGAGTGGGGCCTCTTCTCGGCGCAGTTCGTGCGCCGGCACGGGCTCCACTTGCTGGGCACCACCAGCACGTGGTTCCTCCTGGACATTGCCTTCTACAGCCAGAACCTGTTCCAGAAGGACATCTTCTCCAAGGTCGGGTGGATCCCGCCGGCCAAGACCATGAACGCGGTCGAGGAGGTGTTCCGCATCGCGCGCGCGCAGGCGCTCATCGCGCTCTGCGGCACCATCCCGGGCTACTGGTTCACCGTCTTCTTCATAGACATCATCGGCCGCTTCGCCATCCAGCTCATGGGCTTCTTCATGATGACCGTCTTCATGATCGGCCTCGCCGCGCCGTACCACCACTGGACCACCGCCGGCCACCACACCGGATTCGTCGTCATGTACGGCTTCACCTTCTTCTTCGCAAACTTCGGGCCCAACAGCACCACCTTCATCGTGCCGGCTGAGATCTTCCCAGCGCGGCTGCGGTCCACGTGCCACGGCATATCGGCCGCGGCTGGCAAGGCCGGTGCCATCATCGGCGCGTTCGGGTTCCTGTACGCTGCGCAGGACCCGCACAAGCCGGAGGCCGGCTACTCGCCCGGCATCGGCATCCGCAATGCGCTCTTCGTGCTAGCCGGCACCAACTTCCTTGGGATGATCATGACGCTGCTGGTGCCAGAGTCCAAGGGATTGTCACTTGAAGAGATATCCAAGGAGACCGTTGACGACGAGGAGGCGACCGCTTGACCTCTTAAGAACGAAACGAATACATGTATGCGACCTTTTCTGATTTGCACATGATCCACCGTTGCGCAGGTAGTATATGTGGTGGTATGTGCTTTGCTGTTTTATGCATGATACGGAGTACTCTATTTGTGAGCTTGTGACATGGTAGTGCTAAATGTATATTTGGTCTGGCATGTTGTATTATTTGTAGAGTAAAACGACAAACCGCTTGTACAAGTGACTAAGCTGTTGAAATGAATTCGAGATTTCTATTAAAACCCTCTTCCCACTGTTATAAGAAAAAGTTTAATACTTGTAGCAGGTAAGGATGATGGTGACACCAATAGTAATTGGGTAGTGGGTTTGATTGGGGACTTCGTTTTTTATATTGCCCTCTTTTAAGCCACTCCCCTTCTTGAAAATCTAGCTTAGCTCAGTCAATTTAGTTTTGGATTGATCCAATTGCCAAAACGATTAAGGCCCCGTTCGGTTACCACCGTTCTAGGCCGTTCCGGGCCAGAAACGTTCCGATGTTACGTAAATTATCGAAGGAAGTCTCCGGCTGGGAATTGTTCCCACCCAACCGAACGAGGCCTAAAAAGAATTGCATTCCTAGACGCTAAACAACAGATTTTGCGTCTTTCTACCATATGTCCATATTCAATCTTTGCACAAGGTAATAGAGTGATAGACCAATCTTGTTTGATCCTTGGCTCGTCCATAAGTCCATATCTTCTGCTCATGTCATCGTAGGGAGATCAATTTCCATAATGTTTCTTGGATGTCACATCAATTGGCTAGCCTCTCATATTAAAATAGAATTATTTTCTATTTTTAGCATTCGATTCCTAACACTACTATAAAAAGTGTTTTTAGAGGTGACCTAAACAGATTTCTACGTACGGCTTGGTTGACCGCGTGTGGAAATGCGTCTCCACAATGTGATATTGTTTCGTGGCTGTCTCTAAAAATGTTTTTCAAAAATTTGAAAGTTTCCTCCCATTTGTTGTTTTCCCGCCACATTTGAAATATTTGTTTCTCGCCGCATCTCAGAGATGACATACATACACTATCAGATATCTGAATTGCCTTGAGGCCAAAAAAATTCTTAAAAGCCCAAACTGGATCGCCAAAAAATATGTAGTTTCCTTGGTAATGCTAGTAAACCTCCAAGAAAGGTATATTCCTTGAGAGGTTTATAGGATGCATCAAGAAAATTAAGTATTTACATGAGTGTCAATGTAAACCTTGAAGGAAATTATCATTTTCTTGACTGCTATTCTTGACCGCCAAGGAAAATTTGAATTTTCTTGAGTGTTATTCTAAATTGCCAAGGAAATTATAATTTTCATGAGGGTTGTTATGCAATTTCCTAGGCGGTTGGCACCCAAAAACATTACAATTTCCTAAGCACGTACAAAATCATTTAAACTATAGAAGATAATAAATTAGTTAAAAAGTATTGAAAATCATTCACAACAATGTATATGTAGTCTCTTACATTTAAAAAAAATGTATTTGTTTATATAAGATAAAAAATTTGCATGTTCCTTCAGAAGTGCTCCTTGATTCATTAATTATTTGAAAATTATAAGAATCAATTTTCTGCATAATAAGTGCAAACTCAGATTTGTTAATATGGGTAAAAGTGTGTGAGCTAGAAAAGGTTTTGAGATGTACAAACTTCAAAGTTTGCCCTAGGTTATCTGAAACTTTGTGAAAGATGCATCCATTTCTGAACAATGTATATGCTAACTTTAGTAAAATCTTCTATTTTTATTAATTCAAGATTATGCACCCATAATATGACCCCATGCCAGTTTAAAGAATTTTTGGACAACTTTTTGATATTATCATTACTTTTCTTTAATATAAGTTGTAATAAAAGTTTGAATTGTTCCTAACAAAAGTATGAGTTTTTTCATCTTATCATTGCTCTATTTGTGAGCTTGTGACATGCATGTAGTGCTAAATGTATATTTGGTCTGGCATTGTATTATTTGAAGAACGAAACAACAAACCACTTGTACAAGTGACTAAGCTGTTGCGAGATTTCTATTAAACCCTCTTCCCACTGTTATAAAAAAGTTTAGTACTAGCAGGTAAGGATGAAAATGGTGACACCAATGGTAAATGGGTAATACTAGGTTTCATTAAGGACTTCTTTTATATATATATATAACCCTATTTGGTACCCGGTACTAATAGTTATTCAGTACCCCGCGACCCCCTGCACCAGGCCTTCCGCAGTCCGCACCCACCCGCCCTCCCGCACCAGGCCGTCCGTACCAGGCCCATGCTACAGGCCACGAGTACACACCTACTGAATCCAGCCGTTTTATTTTTTTGGTTTTTAATTTATGAGCTGGATCAGGATTTCGGTTTATACAGCCAGCTTTTGTTTTCATTTTATTTCTGAGCTGGATCGAGATTGCTTGTTTCTTTCTTTTTTATTCCTGCTTGCTCCCCGTTTGCATAGCCAACCACACATAATTAAAGCAGCATAATCCCAAATAAAACCATGCGTAGAGGGCAATTTTAAGACATTGGTTTTATAAATAATGGTTAATCTGAGACAAGTAGTAAAAAAAACTGAGATTTTTTTTACCCGAACACATTGTATATGTATACTAATAGCTTATATACAGTAGATTAGGTATGGAAGAATGAAATGTACTGCTCATCTGCTGTTTCGATCATACATATAGCTCGGCAAATGATAATAATCTATAACATTTATCGCCACTTTCAAGGATTCGTCATATATGTACACAGTACACTTTGGAGCGCCAGTAAAAAAGAATTGTATTTCATACATGTACACTTTTTTGTCTCCATTTCTAAAACTTGAAAGACTGGGAATTGCCCAGTGCCCACTGAGAATCTCCTTTCTATATTCATGCCACCAAATTTATTGTAAATTGAAGAGGCTGCATTTGTGCTGCATTGGGGTAGCTTGTACCTACAACAATAAGATGTCAATATACCTTCTAAAACTCAGTAGTGTTAGGGTACGAAAAATAGTGTAGCTGCCTGGTCAAAGCAAGTTGTTAGTTTCTTTCATGTACACACATGCATCTCGTCTTGCTGGTGGTCATACCCATGATCATGTTGCTGCATATACATTGCTTATAATTATACATAGGGAAACCAAATATTCCCTTTTATTCATTGAAAAACAGTATTAACTTAGTTATTGTACTGCAGATATAGGCCTTTACTGTAACACTAAAATTGATTAGAATTTGAAAATACAAAACCGAGCAGAACATAGGCTGCAAGGCAAGGTCGACCCGTTCTCATGATCTAAAATCCGAAGAACCTATAGATATAAGACTGACTCCAACAGACGAGCTATTACGGCACCCAAACATTCTTTAACATATTTTGCGTCGATCCGTGTAAAATTCAGCTTCCAAAAAGCTGCACCCAAGGACGATACCTTTTTTGGTCCGTATGTTGTCGGCAGCCAAATATAGGTGGCCTCTTCCGCCTCTCTCCTCCACGAAAATATCTGCCTCCAACTGCTTTCGCAGGTGGGAAAAGAAGAGCTCGCGCCGGAGATAGGGGAAGGTTCGGCCACCGGCGCCTCAAGGTACGACATCGCTGCAACCCCACCATTCCACGCTTCCTCCCCTCCTCTCTCCCTCCGCCGCGCCTGAGCTCCCACCGCCGTCCGTCTCCAGCAAGACTTCAGGCAGCTCGCCCAAAGATCACTGCAATGCCGCCTCTCCCAAAGCAGCCCGCCGCAGCCTCTCGACCGGAGATCCGAGGCTGTTCTTGGTAACCACCCTCCCCGCTTCTCCCCGGTGAGTGTAGGCAGGAACACGACGTGAGGCTGCAAGGAGAAGGGACGAGGCGGTCAGTCTGTTGCTGCCACGCCGCCTCGACAAAGAAATAATACGACCATCGATCTCCGTTTCCCATGAAACTTTACGCTGCTGCCTACCGCCAAACAAACAAGGATGGGTCTCTTCTATTGCTCATATTGTTGGAGATGGTGAAATTTGGTGGTGACGCTTTTCTGTGCATACATGGAAACAAAAGAATGGATAGTAAGTTTGGGTACTAACTGTTGGAGTCAGCCTAACTAATTTCATCAGTCCGCATCAGAGCTTTTAAGTGAAAGCATATGTTGCATGGCTAAAGCAAATACTAGAGTAAATAAAGAACCTTCTAGTTGAGCATATGAATGCAAATTTTATAATGTGTGACAAAAAACTAGTGAACCATAAAAACCTCAATTATTTGCAGCTAAACTAGCCTGAGATGAACTTATCCCAAGATGAACTTACAATTAAAGTGGACTCCTAGAAATGTTGGGGAGTCAGCTGTAGGATCTGGATTCGAAGTTTTGGAGTTTAGGAGCAATAATCCATGTGTAGAGCATCAGCCAAGCTGTGCAGGTGGAGAGAAGTGGCAGAAGGCAGGAGTCACAAGGAGTTGACGCTGGAAGTCAGCGGCGGACGATATGGGACACGTAGTTGCAAATACTAAAATTATATTAGACCAAATGGTACAACATTGCAGTTGCAGCTTCACAAACTAGCGAACATACAAAGCTATTTGTCCCCACTTTCGTGCCATGGCATGTAAAATGAAAATTCAGAATAATGGGGAGATACCAACTAATCAGATGGCTATACAAGACGGAATCACGTCTTTGAAAGCGTATATATGTCTAATTCGAGACTGAAATCAAGTAGTGATGTATGATCAATGGTATTTTATGAAATTCCTCAATTATACCGAATTTCACCTATGGTTGATGCATTCAAGGTCATCTCTGCCACAAAATCTTCTAGTTCATTTGAGCTTGCACGATTAGAAAAGTGTGTCCACCAAAAACGATTAATAAGTGTCCACAAAATCACTAAACAAAATAGAAACCCAAGTGAACATGCTGCAACAGAATTAATGTTTAAAATTAGAAACTTCTAGTTCATTTGAACTTGCCTCGATAAAAAGTGTGTCCAGTAAATTTAGGAAAGATGGCATCATCATAGTTCATGGAGTTCGCA